GGAGCCAGTTCTCTCCAGCAGTAGACAATAAAACATGTTTTGCTTTTGATCCAGTCAGTTAAAATATGGATGACTGGGTGACCTGCCAGAAAAGTAAAATGTGACTGCAACATCCCTAGAAATGCCCTGGGGAGCTCTCTTTCCCCCCTCTGCCTGCATGTATACATGCAGGTAAAGAGTAATTGTTTGCAGAGCATAGATCAGCTGTCACTTCCTTGTACAATGTGTGGCTGTATTTTATCAACAAGAACGAGAAGTCATATTTTCTTTTGTGGAATTTGGCAGGACAACTGACTTCTGAGGTTTGGTGCCCAGCTGCGATGTAACGAGGGCGGCAGCTTAAAATGAAGGGTGGGAGGCAACTGAAAGAAACAATCCAGAGTAAAATCGAAAAGCCAGAGAATGTTGACTTGAAGGGAAGCGATGGCCTTCCCCCCCCCACCCTCTTGTTAAATCATTGAACATGCAGAATTCTTTCACGCAACACAAAGCTCCCTTTTCACAGAAAATAAACAAATATGCACGCACACAAAAGCAGAGCTAATTAAGATCAAGTCATATCTCAATAAATATGCAAATTAAAAATCAAAACAAAGAAATTCTATTTATCACATCATAAAGTTGCAAATTGCTGTTGAGGCTCCTGTAGGCTGCAATAGATGAGGTGACGGGGCAATAGGTTTTAAATTAGTAGGCCAGCTAACACGTGCATGTGTTTTCATTGTAATAGCTGGTGGCTCATCCTCTGTAGCTATATCGCCCCCTCCCTTCCTCTGTACCATGTCTGCATTCAGTGCTATTAATAAACTATATTTGCCTTCGAGTTCCCTAATGTAATGTCATCGGCTTTCCCTTCTGTTTACTTTCCATAAGACAATATCATTATTCTTTGGTGAATCTTCTCTCTCATCTTTTGCTTTTTCCAGCCCTTAAAAAAATGTTATAGGAAAAAACTCCAGTTCTCTGTGCACTAATATACATGCCGCCAGGGTTGTTCATTACCATGTCTCACGATTTGCATTCTCTCCTGAGGGAACAGGGATGTGTGATATGGAGAGCAGGCATCTCCTAATGATTTTGGCCCCTTCGTTAGTGGGATTGTAACCTGCTCCCCAGCAGGCTACATGTTGCCATCTTTTCGAAGAACCTCTATTCTGCTTGTTTGAACTGATCCATTTGTATTGCTTTGTTTATGGTCTAAGACACCTACCATAGATGGTGAATTATTTGGATGGAAAATTCTGCATAGCAGAGAGATGTGAGAGGAATTGGCTGGTTTGGGACATTAGAACATAAGAATGGCCATACTGGGTCAGACCAAAGGTCCATCCAGCCCAGTATCCTGTCTACCGACAGTGGCCAATGCCAGGTGCCCCAGAAGGAGTGAACCGAACAGGTAATGATCAAGTGATCTCTCTCCTGCCATCCATCACCATCCTCTGACAATCAGAGGCTAGGGACACCATTCCTTACCCATCCTGGCTAATAGCCATTAATTGACTTAACCTCCATGAATTTATCTAGTTCTCTTTTAAACCCTGTTGTAGTCCTAACTTTCACAACCTCCTCAGGCAAGGAGTTCCAGTAGCTGGCAATGTGACAAAGAGCTTTTCAGCTCCTAAGTCACAGGTGTGATTATCACTTGTGTTGGTAGTGATAAGATATTGGTACCATCTAACTGCTATTTGTTAGTGAATTGAGCTGGTGGTAACAGTCCATTTCCTTGTGAACGTGTGCACAAATCACCATAGCTATTACCACAGGTAGTGCTAGTTGTTTGTTGGCCAGCAAAGAAGCCAATGACTGAATGACCCAGGGAGACAGAACACTTCTCAGACCCTCGGAGATGGACTATCCAAATCTAGGTTGGAACGTATCAGTGGTGGAAGTATAGGGAAGCTATCGCTATTGCTGTCTTTGCTGTAGTTACTCTGTGGCTAGAGAAGGGGAAATTCAGTCTCCAGGGCTGTCAGTTTGTCTCCTTTCACCTACACTAAAATTCCCAGGAAATAAAAGCAGGAAGATGTCCATTCTGAAGTACCCAGAACCTGCTGTTGTCCTCAGGCACTGCTGTTTGGTTACCAACCTGAAGCAACTGCACTAATCTGAGAAAAATTACTCCAAATCAGTACTCATGTAATTGATTGAGAATTTGGTCCAGTGTCTCCAAGCTCCATTTCCTTTCTAACAAGTCACCGGCTCCTTGGGCTGCAAGGAGTATATTATACCAATTATCCCAAAGCTGCACTTTACATTTGTTCTTGGGAGCAAATCAAATCATTGGCATGCTTCTCTAAGGCCTTGGGTGCGTTGGTTTGATGTGATAGACTGCCTGGCTACTCATATAGGGCCTGATAAAGCATGCGGCAGTCTATGAGAACCTTTCCATTGACTTAAATGGACTTTGGAACAGGCCTGTCTTGCTGCTGTCATTGATAAGTCTCCAGATATGAACACCTAGTGCTGTTGTCAAGGCATTTTCAGTAGTAGGTCATCAACTGTGGATCTTGCTTTCATTTTGATTCACCAGAGCCTGGGTCTGTTGACCATGAGAACATGTTGTAAGGTCTGTCTCTTTCCTCAGGCTTTTGCCTGTTTGGGGGTGTTTACGGCAAGGTCTGGGGTTTCGGATTAGGGCAACGATCTTGACCGTTAGTATTACTCTGCACGTTATGTATACAGATAGTTTGTACAGTTCCCATAGCCTATATTGATGGGGGCTTTTATCAACTGAAAAAATGCATACAAATAATAAGGTTACGGAGAAATAGGTCACAGAATTGGTGAGGGAGAAGTTGTTCTTGGATATACAGGTACTGCAGGTGAGTCTGAGTCTCTTCTCTAGAACACAGGTGGTTGAGTCAGCGTGGGGGCAGCTAAGTCCCATCACTACCTCATAGGTGACTGAATTCCAGTGTATCCAAGAAGCTTGTTGAAACTGGGTAAATACTATTCAGAGTCTTTTTTTCTTTTCTTTTTCTTTTCTTTTCAAAAATTTCTTTATTTCTTTATTTTGACAATCACAAAGAAGCAGCAGCATAGTTTAAAAATGAAAGGGTCTGATTTCCCCGGAGTTTTACTCTTTTTTGAATACTGTCATGGTAGACTGGGTAATTTGTGCCATTCCTGTGTACTTCAGAAAAAAAAAAATCAAAGTCCTCTGGCTGTCCTCTGCACAGAAAGCTGAGATGATTTTTAAGTCATGTGTAACAACAATTGTTGTGGGTTTTTTCCATGTCACGTGCACACTTTCACTTTTGAGCTCCTTCTGACCCAGATTTCAGGGAAGGTTGAAGGGAAGCCAGAAACTACAGAAGTGCATAGTTTTTCATTTATTTATTTTCAGGCTACACAGACCTATTAAGCATGTGGAGAATCCCTATACAGTACAACCCTGAAGTGAGCGAAGCCAAAGATCATCAGGGGAAGGAGTGGGCACTGCTAGATAGTGTTTGCTTCTGTTTGCAAAGCAGCCCATACACAGTTAAGATCTGGAGGCTCAAAGTGAGGAAAATCTTACATTTTTCTGGAACCAGCTAGAGCAAATGGCCCAAGACAAAGGACTCTGGAGATCTATGGTTGGCGGCCCATACCCCGATTGGGGTGACGGGCATGAGTGAGTGAGTGAGTGCAGAGCAGTGAGAAAAGAGATCCATACACCCAACCGCAACGCTCTAAATCTTCAGCATGTTCTAAAACCTCAGATGCCGGAACTGCTATGAGATGGCTGAGAGCTGGGAAAGTATTGTGGTAACTGACATGCAAATGAGCAGAGCACACATTAAAGCTATGTGTTGTCCATCTGCCAAGCCATTCATTGCTCCCAGCCTGGGACAGATTAGAAGCACTGACCTAGTGTGGAAGATTGTTATTCCTTTCCCAATCCCCCAAAGCAATCCACTCTCCTACCCTGAGTCAGAGCGAAACCAATGACCTAGAAGTAAATGACTGGGTCCCAGTTCCCCTGGTTCATCCAGTCTCCTGACCTGAGCTGGCTTGAAACTGCTGACCTAGAGATGAAGGACTGTATCCTGTTTTCTACCCCCACAAGCCAGCCGGCCCCCTTTCCAGAACTAAGGCCAGATTGAATTAAATGGGAAAGGCTTTCTATCCCCCCAGCCATCTGTCTAGTGGTTACAATTCATTCAGAAATATTTCATTGAGATATTTTAAATACAGAACATATTGAAATGAGCTTTGTGAATTGAAGTGTGCGCATAGAATAGTTGTGACCATTCTTGAATGCAAATTGCTAAGTAAGCCTATGGGGATCTTGAGGGATCTTCTGGCTCTACTTTCAGAGAGCCAGAAGAAGATGTAAGTGACACCAGCTTAGATTGTCTGTGGATTCCCTTAGACTCACCTCTGAAGTTGGCCCTGCCTCATAAAGACTGGTTGCCAAAAAAGATCTGTCCCTTTTGAAATGACAGAGCTTCAGGTGCTGCAACCCTCCTTGTTGTTGGCATAGCTGTGGTCAATGTCCCTGGAGCCTCTACTTTCTGCTTACTCCTCCGCTTCCTCATAACACTCGCCTTTACACAGCGCACCATACAAGGATGTCACAGCACTTTAACCCACGTGGATTACTTAGGTCTGACACGAAATATGGAACAAACAAGATGGGGATGATGGTTAAACCAACAACGTCTTTGTAACCGGATACCGTGTCTTCTCCCCCGTGCCTTAACATGGTTTACTTAACCTTGTAAGCTCCTCAAGACAGGCACTATGTTGTCTGTCTTCAAAGCACCGGGCATGCCTATGGTGCTGTATAAACATTAATAACAATAATGTGTCTGTCCCAGGAGGTACGTAAATATCATTCTCTTCATTTTACAGATGGGAAAACAGAACAAAGAAGTGATGTGATTTGCCTGATGCCACACTGGCAAAGCCAGGAATAGAACGCAGGAGTCCTGACTCCTAGCCCCATGCTCTAACCACTAGACAATACCACCTCACTTTGTTGACATTCTGTCTCTTTTATGATTCCTTGGCAGGAGCAGCAGCACCAACAGCCTGGAGATTGACGATGAACCTCCTTGTGGGGAAGATGTCGATTACAATACTGACAGCTGCTCTGACCAGGAAGGGGACTTCTCTGAGCTAGACGAAGAGATCCGGGAGATCTCCGTGAGGGCAGAAGGAGAGGTGGAAGAGGAGGGGGCCAGCGAGGGACAGACATGCAGCTCCAGCGTTCTTGGAGGGTTTTACATTTCCAGCCACCAAACAACCAATAGCAAAGCTCTCCCACTACCATCAACGTCACTCGGCGTGTTTGCTGGGTTTGAAAGCAGCCCTGCGTGAACAGAGCTTTGACTTACCGAGCAATAAGCAAATGGGTCACTGCTCCTCTTTACCCGTTTGCCGGCTTCAGCTTTGTTCCCAGATGTGTTGCCCCAGTTCTGCATGGAAAACTGACTTTATGTTTATGGAAAATATATATAGAGAGAGAGAAAGGTTCCCTACCCTGTGCATACAGGGAGGGGTGAGCAGTCACTTGTCCATATGGTGCAATGTGAAGACTTAGGGCATTCTTATACATCGTCACCAGTGCAATCACTTTCTCTAATTTAGTTGTCCGTGGCTTCATGCAGATTGTCATGATGGTTGATCTTTTGAGTGCCTAAGGTATGGGAGAAGAGTCCTTCACCCCAATTCCTTCCCTTACTGTTGTGACTTAGAAAATCTCAGAAGATCTTTTTCTGAAGATTTTTGGCCAGAGTTGAGATATTTGTTTCATTTTATTGCTCTGAGGTTTTGCTGCATGTATCTGAATTCTAGGGGCCTGATCCAAAGATTACCATTGACGTTAATGGGTTTTGGATCAGGCCCTGTGTGCTTAACAACTCCAACATACCTGGAGAACCCACCACCACCACCTACAATAGTAACCAATCCAACCAATAATTAGAATGGAGCAGATTCAGAACCTCAGGCAACTCTCTGATTGGGAACCCTCCAGGCATATTGCAAAGCTCATCTTCTTTCCTGAGTGCGTGGGGAGGAAGTGGATCAATAGAATGGTATATAACAGGGATTGGCAACCTTTGGCACGCGGCCCGCCAGGGAAAGCCCCTGGCGGGCCAGGCTGGTTGTTTACCTGCCGCGTCCGCAGGTTTGGCCAATTGCAGCTCCCACTGGCCACGGTTCGGCGCTCCAGGCCAATGGGGGCTGTGGGAAGCGGTAGCCAGCACATCCCTCAGTCCACGCCGCTTCCCGCAGCCCCCATTGACCTGGAGTGGTGAACCGCGGCCAGTGGGAGCTGTGATCTGCCGAATCTGCGGACGCGGCAGGTAAACAAACCAGCCCAGCCCGCCCAGGGCTTTCCCTGATGGGCCGCATGCCGAAGGTTGCCGATCCCTGTTATATACCATTCTATTGATCCACTTCCTCCCCATGCACTCAGGAAAGAAGATGAGCTTTGCAGCATGCCTGGAGGGTTCCCAATCAGAGAGTTGCCTGAGGTTCTTTTATTGCATTTTCTCAAGTATGCATGCTGAGGATCGTCCATGCTTATGGAAACACCATGTGCACATGCGTTTCTGGCACACTAGGCCAAATGCTGCTCTCAGGCACACTGGAATAAATGGATCAGTGAAGTCAATCAAATCACTGCAGATTTACACCAATGGACCTGAGGGCAGACTTTGTTCCACTGCGTACAGTGGAGGTGACACCCTTTCTCTGTAAGACGTCTTTCCAGTAGCATGCACTGAGAGACTACAGGTACTGCTGATCACATAGTTAATATTCAGGACTTTTCTTAGGGAGAGGACTCCCCTGGTGGAACACTATAATGCAACCTTCCAGAAGGAGGCAAATGTCTCTCCTCTTCAGCCTGGCAAGGATCCCTAGCATTTTATCAAGGGGAACAGTGTGGTACACATCAGCGGTGGCAACACTTGACAGCTCCCTTAGCCAGGTCGCCATTCCAGTGGCCATTGTCTATTATTATTTATATGGCTGTCAATTACTCACAGTTAATGCAAGTGATTAACGCAAAACAAATTAACTAGATTAAAAAATAGTCGTGATTGTTTGTATTATGGTAATACCAAGGAGCCCTGGTCATTGACCAGGACTGCATTGCGCTAGGCGCTGTACAAACACACCACGCAAAGACGGTCCATGTCCCAGGGAGATGACAGTCAGACTCACTGTTAGAGCGGATCAGAAAATGAAAAGATGGTTTCCTAAAAAAAAACGGAATCGTTTTCATTTTGAAGGGTTCAAACTTGACCTATTTTTTTTAAAAAAATGTGATTTTTTTTAATTCAGGTTTTTTAATCAGATGGCTATTGATATAAAAAATAAACGGTCATCGGGAAACAGAAAACACATGTAACCATTTCATTTAAAACAAACAAAAAATGCCATTAAAAATGAATTCTGGCAAAATAAATTGTTCTAAAATTTGTGATCAGTTGTACTCACTCTGTGTGTCTTTGTAGGCCTTATGCAGATGCCTAACCAATTTGGAGTCCTCAAGAAGGCCAGGGGATTCTGCCTGATGGCTAATTGGCGAGGAAATGATAATAGGACCATAGATAGATGGGCTGGAGGCAGACCTTGTGCGTTGCTGAGTTCCATCTCTGGGTCAAAATGGTCTCTTTCAGTCCCAAGAACAGGAAATAGCTCAGTTCTCCTAGTATTGCCTGCAAAGGCAGAGGCTTATTTTGTAGAGATTCCTCATTTATTATAGAAGAAATTAGGAAAAGCATGATGTGGCCCTGACTCTGCGATCCTAACTCTTTGCTATGCATTAGAATTCACTGTTCACCTCTGCGCCCCGGGCTTTGCAGAGACAAGGATTGCCATTTCTTCCTGTGTCACGGAAACATTTAATATAAAATAAAGTAATAATAAAAAAGGGAAAAATCGGTAACAGTACAAGAGTACCACAGGCAATGAATGTGCAGCTCCTGCTCTCTCTAATGTTTCTCAGGGCACAGTCAGCGCAGTAAACTCTGCAAAGTGTAAGGTACGGGATACAAGGTGGGATTTATTATTAATTAATTATTATTAATTATTATTAGATTATTTATTATAACTAACTGTCAGGCAGCTTCAGTCAGTGGCAGCCAAATAGATGCCGAAGAGTCTCAGACTTTGCTAATGGAATCTTCCTCCTTTATAAAAATGTAATGCAGGAAAATTAACCACTATAAAACCATCCAAGGATAAGAGTAATATTTAGCACTTCTCCAGCATCTTTCATTCAAAGATTTCCAAGCTTTAACAGCCCTTCATGAATTAAGCCTCACAACACCCTTTGGGAGGTAGCTAAGCACTGTGATGAACTGACTGGTGTTCATCTGCATTGCTCCCTCCAGTGGCTCAAATGTGTGTCACAGGCTCTACACTGCTGATGGAGATTCTCCTTAAGTTCAACTGGCACAAGGCTGTGCTGGTCCAAGAGGCTCTTGAGTCCTATCCCTGCTATCTCTGTGAAGTTCCAAATGGTCGCATGGTATGTAGCAGAGTAACTACCAATGCATCCTGTGTTGCCAGTGATTATTTTTTTGGTATCACTTCCGGATGGCTAAAAGCACCACCTGGAACCATATTCAATATGTTGCCTGCAAAGAAACTTCCCTGAGGCGATTTTACAGTACGTTGCTGAATGACTTTCTGCCATGTGACCTGGACCTGGACCTTATGGGAGCTGACTGTTTGGATTGAAGTCAGAAACCCAGCTCCTTCCTAATCTGCCGAGGTTCCAGCATCCAGGTTTCTAAAGTTACAGCCAGCACACAACAGCTCTGCAAGTCTCAATCTCTCGTTCTAATGCAGCTCAAAAGACAGGCTGCCTGGGTCCTCAAAAGATGAGCTTCTTAGACAGAGCTAATTCATTAGGTATGATGTCTGCTATCACTGTACAGATGTCCTGTTCTGCTTGCTTCAGCATGCAGCTTGTTGCACATAATACTGATTTTTGATAAAAGGATGGCTCACAAGAATGGACACAAAGGAAGTAAAACACGTGTTCACATTATAATAGGATGTATAACATTGCTTCAGAGCTTATTAATAAGATAGATATGAGTACAGTTAACCTCAAAATCCAATGTTCATATGCATGACAAAGCATGCACTTCGTAGCATGCACAGTGTGCCATGCACACACTGCAGTACAAACACACAGTACAACCCATGCCACAGGATGTTCAGAAAAGCTACAGCACAACTCCACAATACAGTGCAAACATGCCATAGTACAGCCCCTCAACACAACACCCCCTCCCTCACACACACACTATCAGCATATACTTCATCATGGACACACACCACATACACACACACTCTTTCTGCAGCGCAGAATATGTACCACCGCATATTGCAATGTACTGAGGCATCAGGACTTGTCAGTTGTGTGGGTTTCCAATGTAAGGGAGAAATCCTTCTGCATCACAACATTTTCAGCATTCTTGATAATCTGACACTGTTAATTTCGTGAAGTAAACACTATGGGCCAGATTCATTCCTGAAACAACTCTATTAAAGTCAGTTGAGTTACACCAAGGATGAATTCATCTCTTGTGGGCTAAATTCTGCCCTCAGTTACACTCATACATTCTGTACCCATGCCATTGACTTCAGTGGACTTGCCCAGAGTAAAATGAGGCAGAATATGGCCCCACACACAGGTATATGGCCAGATAGCTAGAAGCAGCCCAGAGGTGCTGGAACTGGGGGTGCTGCTGCACCCCCTGGCTTGAAGTGGTTTCCATTATATCCAGGATTTACAGTTTAGTTCAACGGCTCTCAGCACCCCCACTGTAAAAATTGTTCCAGCTCCCCTAAAGCAGCCTCATTCTGTGCTCAGCATTATGCAGAGGCCCATAGCAGGGGAGGCAGTTTTGCCAGTGCATTTGATGTCACTTAAATGTCTGACTATCGGAGTGCACCCGCAAAGCTGACAGCGAGTTGTCTCAAGTATATCCATTGCCCCTGGAACATTGTGGGCACAAAAACGAAAGCTGGGCTGAGGCTTCTTTCCAACTCCTTCCCGCATGCCGAGCAAATGAGGAATTGTCAGTACGTGGTTAGACGTCGGTAGCAGACGATGTGCAGGAAACGAGATGAGAATAAAGCACCACAAGAGCGGGTGGCATTTTGTTGGCAGGAAGTGATGTCAGAAGGCATGGCAAGTCGGTCCCATGACTAATCAGCAGGGAATGGCTCCTGAAAGCCTCCCACAAAAAAGCACTGCCCTTTCTGCTCCTTTTCCCCCTCGTGCCCAGCTCCAGCTTTTGACTTTCACAGGAAGCTGTCACTCCTTCCCTTAGCCAGCCTCTAGAGGTCAGGAGAGGCCCTCTGTTGCAGCTCAGCCGGCGCACTCCCCGTTATTAACATTCTCCCTGAGTCATGGTAATTAAGCGCTACTAGGCTCCACACAGAGGAACGGAAATGCATTGACTTTAATAAAACAGAGTGTAAAACAACTTTAGATTAACTCCAGCCTTGTTTATTCTCGCGCACTTGTGATTCTGCTGTGGTATTTCTCCAGTGAATGGGACCGTTGTCCGCAGCGCTGAGTCGCGTCACCTCACTCTAGCCCAGGGAGCGCCGTCGGAAGGGCCTTGTCT